AGCGATCACTGTCCTTCCTCATAACATTTTCAGCAATACCACCTCACCACCTACCTCTTTCAATTATATTGAGAGAAGGAAAACAGAATATTAGTGATAATAGTAAAATAACGGCTGGAAGTGAAACAGATCCACAGCTATCATTTATAGTTTGAACCAATAACGACTTGTATACGACCAAAAAAAGTCTTATTGGTGTAAAGAGGATCAATCATACGAAGTGATGTAAGAGTACATAACTAATAAGATAAGCACATAGTTGATAAGAAACTGCATACTTCCCTTTCACAATTGCGTGAATAGGTAAAGACAATCGAAGTTACGTGCTAATCTTAAGTTGTTGGCGAAGAAGAATTGACAAAATCCCACCTAATATATTTTTTATAGAAACAGGATAGCTAACAGATATCTCTCGATAATTAAAGAAAACAGTAGAAACTTCCCCCTAACCCCGGTGGTTTGTTGAAGTCTAGGTTACGAACACCTTAAACCTGACCTTTGTTGAATGACTGTGGTCAGTCTTGTTTCCCACTCTGATTTTTAACAAATTTTACCATTCTTCAATCACTTGATGTTTAATTTACCCTTCACCATCTCAGAAACGCTGCCCGTATACACCATTATTTGTTTCTGGTACACTTTACAACGACTGAATTATTACGGACACATTGACTGACTGAGTTTCAACATACAGCCTAACACACAAGTTCACCAATTTGAGTTGCCAGAGAAAAGAGGGAAGAAGAACTTTATCGAGAAGAAATGTGAGGAAGAAAGAATAACATGACAAAACATGAGAGTCTCAGGGATATGGGAGATACCAACGAGTGAATGCATCTGCGTCATCAGGAAGGATTTTGAGCCGCATCTGTAGTCACTGGTTTTTAGTATCCCAAGGATCTCAACCAGGTTGCCTGCCCCTCTCCAAATATTATTATTACCTTGCATTATTCCCTTGGATTTCGAGTGGGACACTGGGCTCCCTACGTACCTCAAAGATTTCATGGATCGATGCAATGTTTTCGTTTGGCTACCCTAACTCTTTCCTAACCCAATCTAATATCAATTAACATCAACCATAGAGGATGGTAACATCACGTGTCCTGACCCTCTCCATCGATTCACCTTCACAACCTCATCGATTTAAACTATTCATAGTATATAGGAATACAAATGATGGTCAACTTTAAGCACTCATTTGGAAATACACACATCACAATTGAGAGCAAATTTCGTCACAATGGTTCGAAGAATAAAATAAGAATGTTGACAGAAATGGAACAGTAGAAAGCAACATGCTAAATAGTAACAGGATAAAAACCATAACAAAGAAAGCATTAATTTGCCCCCTGTCCACAGGAATGATATTAGAAGATTGACTTACACTCCAGCGAACATTGTTGATTGCTTGTTAATCCATTTAAATGTGACTGGAACTTGGCAAGCAAATCCGATGGGCAGCTGGTTAAACCTAGGAGAGGAAAAAGAAAATTTAGTAGGAGTTATTCAAGTTACGTAACGGTAAAGTTAGAAGAAATCTAAGGATATCCAGACTATGACACACTGCCAGCTTATGAGGTTTCTAACAGTTTGTTTCTGGAGTGTAGTCAAGTTTGAACGCACTAAGTGAGGTTATCAGAAAACTAAGAACCAATGACGAGAGGTACCAAGTAAAAAATACTAAATGTTACACATCTCCACTAAGCTAACATTTTGCAAGAAAGTTCTCAGTGTGGTCTGGTGTAGTTATATCCTCCTGTTGAAGGGCTATTATACGACTACATAGTCATAACTTTTGTCTTTACATGCCGGTGCCTTAACGATGGGAAAGGGTCAACGGGAATATGCTATGCCTATCAACTTAGATTGAGTGAAGAAATCAGGATATAAGACTAGTGATACGTGAATATAGTTCAGTCACTATTAACCCACGAAATGAATCGTCGCTTTTCAAACTAGACTGGAAGAAATTTAAGGTTAATCAAACCGGGACATAATGTCAACTAATGAAGGGAGATGAAGAATATCTGAATGAAGTCGTTGGAATGCTATGAATCAGCTGTTAGAGACGGTTGGTGACATGTCTAGGGATTATCTACAATGGTTTTAATGTATTTTGCTGTTCTTCGTCTTGTTTGCATGGATACTTGGAAAATGATATTGAACATTTCATGAAAATGGCGCAGATTAGTTTGACATTCATGCGGAAAATCAGGCATAAAAGTAGGAAGAAATGTGATGAAGCCACAACAAGCCAAGGTAGTCATCATAGGGTAAGATTCATTGAACGTATATGAAAGCTCTCAGAATCCCAATAATGTTAGAATTAGTGAGTGCTCACTGACGAACAGCTTGGTTTACTGTAATTTTATCGCATTCCTTCCTACTTTTTAGGCATGATTTTACCAAGTGTGTCAGCTTGATCTGTAGCATTCCCATGAAAAGTTCAAAATAATTTTTCCAGTATCCACTAAGACGAATCCAAAACAGTATTCTTTTCTTAAGATTCTGCTTGGATAACTACGTGTTCCTAGCCAGAACTAATTCACATGTCTATGTATGACAACCGGTGTTATGACAGCCACTGTGGATGATATACAATAGAATACACAATAAGTGTCGTGAATAAACGCACCTGGAATGGCATCTTTTACCAACGATGGTTTCTGCTCCTCATCTAATATTTCCCCCAAGATAACCGCTACGCGTGTTACAGCCATAAACCACGCAAAATAATGAAACTCTTTTGAGGTTAAAATCGTACGTACATGTAATTTGACATCGTAAAACAAGACATTCAATTTATTGATAATTTAGCATTTTTGTGCAAATGTCAGAAGGGAGAAAATTCCTAAATCTTGTGAGAAATATATTGTTTTAGTAGCAACTAGCTAATTTCCGGAAACGATTTATCTGCCTGTGTGCAATTCTCAAGTCAGTAGAATTCCCCACATTGATAATAAATTTCTACTTTTACTGTGTAATTCACTGAAGATGCTTTCCAGTGCTATTAAAGAGAGCTGACATCAGATCATGAAGTAGCCGAGGAAATCGTGGTGCTGACTTAACTCATGATCCCAGTAACCCCTAATTTAACAACTGTCAAGTGTTCCAGACATATATATATGGAAAAATTTACAGTGCGCATTCAACAAGCAATGTCATCCAGGATATACTCCTCCAGATTAAAGACACCAGTGCGCAGTGCCATAGTATGCCACTTAATAAGTATGGTTCTAGTAGTGGTCAGCTTTTATTATTCATTGCGTTTTGAGCGGAAGATATGGCCTCAAAGGCATGTATTAATTGTACTCGGCCCATTCCCACAACTTACAGTATACTCATTTCCTCCTGACATGACCTTGCATTTGTTACATTCAGACGCCTGACTAGTTGCTTTATCCTCGGACTCCACTCGAAGTCCTACAGGGTGACCACGCTCAGCAGTCGCCCCACAGTAAGTTCAGTCCAGTTGCATATCCGCACACTTCTTCGGTATTAGCCTGGTTTTCTGGTGAGCTACTCTGTTTCCTTGACTATTCCCCTAATCATTCTGATAGATGAACCAACTGTAGAGCGAATGCACTTTTTGTTGACAAAAGTCTGCACCAGGTTGTGGGAAATGCATTGGGCCTGCTGAACGATCCATTACAAGACACTGGTGATGACCGAGGGGGTGAGTAAGCAGCGTTCACTCTGAACTCTTCAGTGAGCTTCCCGTCGTAAATTGATTTACGTATAACGTTATCATTTGGTAAGTGAATCAGGTTTATAAGCTTTTGCGGTGCTGCACTCTAAAGTGCTAAGGCAGTTGACAAGTTGGTTGACTCCATCTAAGGCCTCTCAAAAGTCTAGGATGTTAAAACAGTGATTTGACTTCTATTCTAGGCCTCGTCTAATTGATGGACGGTATTTCAGTGTGGTCTACGAGTGAATTCACCTTTTCACTCCAGCCTGCTGCGAGTGAATCGCCTCATCTGACACACTCTTCAGTCCATTAAGAATGAAGTGGCTTTATATTTTGCAAACAGAAGCGTAATTATGAACCAGTTCTTGCAGAGATTTCAGTCATAATTCTTTGGCAATTAGACAATACGGCTTTTCTCCAATAGTGTGCACCTTGTCTTCCTTCAACACTGTCTATATTTTCGCTGGGTTTTGCAGATCCACTTTCAGTGCTACTTGTGGGAATTATAAGGGATTATTCAGTTTTTCAGACTTATAGTAAATTTCCCTGGGACCAGTCTTAGTGGCATTTTTTGCATCCAATGCTCATGAAACCTGCGTGATAACATTTTAAATTACTTAGAAGTTACACACAAGTTTCTTCGACTAAGTGTACTGGTGAACGAAATGAGTTCAGTGATTGCAGGTGTCATAGGAACGTGGGCCGTTTCTAAACCAGAAGGATTTAGTTTCCTTTGAAGTGATAGAATCACAGGTAATGAGACAGGTGGGATAGTACCTTATATCTGTCATCACTTCCGTATATGCCACTGGAAACCTGCCTGCAAAGATGACATGCATTTCATATGAACTTACATGTTTATACAAAGTACAGATAATTAAAGTTATGTAACAACTGCCGGCATATGACGTAGTCAACCCTTAAACAAATCTAACGAAAACAACATTGAATTTCGGGTGCTCCAGAGCAAACCGAACTGCCACGTTTCACAATTTGAGCTCACAAAATGATGTAGATAATACTAAACTGAATGAGAATTGTAGTCACTTTGTTCTGTCAGCGCCTGCCTAACATGCTTATCTACCTGCCGTGCCTTCCTATTCACTCATTCATATATCAAAAGTCTGGCCTGTGACTGTATATTGTAATCACAACAACGAAAAACAACACACAGTATTGATTCATTTTCTTTACAACAATAAAGTCGGCCTAGCAGCCGTAATAAGTGATTAATAGCATAATTAATCCCAACATGCGTGAGAGATGATGATATACTACTTTATTCGAGGCGCTGTCACAAACTAGTGGCAATATGGATCATTTGATAGCTGTCTTACCTCGGATATCTACTGCACCCGGTGTAAGCTCTGTTGCTGTTTGCTCTTCCGAATCTGTTAATAGATTTTCCAGGTAATTACTTTTGACGGTTAAGGAGCATCGTGGCATAATGCAACATAGAGAAAAATCAATTCCTCCGTAAACCACTTCTTTTCTGAGGCGATGTACATACATGATGGTAAAGTCATCCATGGTCTTGTAGAACGCGAATCTAGAAGGCCATAAATCATAAATTATAAGGATAGCTGAGATCTTGTGTCTACGATTTTCTCCAGTTATCCGGCCGATGCTATCGTTTCCTCGAAAAATAACCCAGCGAAAGCCTCCTGCCTATTTCACGTGCAATTCGTTGGTGTTTTCCACATACATTCTACTACCTATTTTGGTTTGCATGGGTTCTTCAGAATGTCTTTTAAACCGACTTGTTCTTGGTCAAACTTTAACGAAATACTTACAGGTACGCACTCGTTAACCAAATTTACTTCCTAAAGCCGCTCGGTCATTTGGTATATCTAAGCTGTCTCACACTAGAGATATTTTGCCATTTAAAACACTGCAGCCCACCTTAGCCTTAAGACAGAAGTCTAAAATATTACCATCGTATGTCTGGTGGTCGTTTGAGTATTTTCAGTTCATGAGAAGTACTACCATCGTACTTAGTTATTCAAAACTTTAGACATACTATATAGCGTAGTTTTAGTTCCGACTATCGCCAGTCAGATGAACAGGTCAACTGTCTCACTTTAATACGGTGACTTAGTCATTTCCATGTTGGACTGCATATTCTCTGTCATATACTGGCTGGGGCAGTCACTACATATAGTTCTGTTTGACTACGATGCGGGTACAATTTATGACTGGGGTGAGATATGTGACTGTCACTGTTTCGAAAGTTAAACTTTTGACTTATCCATAAGTTTCTTCGGTAAAGATGTGAAGTTGGTCATATCACCTGGGATTTGATTATCTGAGGTAGTGAAATCCACTAGTGATTTTGACACAACTTTATAAGACGAATCGAAGCGGTAAAATCCAGTGTTTTTCCATAAAGAAGCTCTTGTTTCCAGTCGTACTAATTTAAATCTGATAATCATGTTGAACAATATAATATAGCCGAAGTGGTCGGTGTCGAGGAAACAAGTTGGTTACGCTGCTTGATTGAATTCGAGTTCGCTTCCAGTTGGCTTCGGCTAGAAATAACTCTTGTGATTGTCGCATGGTCCTATATCCTGCTAGACGTGTACTTCCGTCACACTACTTGCTGTCAACTGAGTCTTGCCCAACTAACCTGGTAATGTGGTGAAAGCATACTTCTGAAAGGACAGATGTCCACAACGCAATGATGAGCATTATCATAAACCTTCCTCACGCTAAGAAAATACCCACAAGCAGTAGAAATCCATTAATTAATGCGTCTGAAGCTTATGTATATTTACTCCCAACAATGACATTGAAGATCAAATGTGATAAACATATCACTGATTTCAAAATAACACATCAATGAACTATAATTCAAGGACTCTGCGCATAACAAAGTTATGTATGAAAATTGACTTCAAGCTTTATTTTTTTTCCATCCACCAAAGACCTGGTTTTTTGTTAATGCGAAGACAATACTTCTGTATTTCCTGATGTGTTTCACTTACTGACGATCTAGCGGATTTTTCAAACTGTGCACAGAAATGATTGTATATAAGTGAAAAGGCTGTTTTATACTACTGGGATTGACATTTATCAAGTGTATGTATAATCTCCAGCGAACATGCAAAGCATATCTTGCTACTGCCTGTAAATTGTGATTGAATTATATGGTTCTATTTCTGTAACAATTTGATGATGCCTGTAAACTGGCGTCTCTGTACTGTACTATGAGAATAAATTTATTTATTTATTTATCCCTGGTTGTAATGATAATAATAGTCGACCGGAAGCGAGCTTGTGGTAGTCCAAGAAGCCTAACCAACTGGCTCTCTAGAAAGTTTTGAGAGGAAACAAATGGTTTAAGGTGACAAATCACAGAAAGCCGTAGAAAACCTTAGTATAGGAGTTTCTGATGTGTGTTTGGATCTGAACTACTAATCTAAGAAGGGTTTTTAAGTTCGAAAATTTTTTACAAACTATGGACTTTCATTTAGCCAAATAGCCTACAGATGACTAAGACAATCTGAAGAAACAGGCTTGTGTGTATCGTACATTTGGGTTCGAACTGCTGCGCTACATGTGCTCAGTTTCTGCGTGAAGAGTCTTTCCTTATTATTTTGGAAATTAGCCGCTTTCCTCACATTATCCACATATCCATACTTAACAAGGATTGTATTGTATCACCTGAAACTACATATAGTATTCACCCGTGAAATCTACAACCGGGAATCTTCTGATACCCTCTCTAACCACGTGGAACTCAGGATTTTATCTACAGCAAGCATTGTAAAGGAAAGTCTGACTTTTTATTTTGCAATATATATCTGTTTATCGTAGTTGTTTTGATACTTCGATAATACAGCTACCTTTTTTTATATCCAAAAGACTTTTTTCCGGAAATTGTGAAAATTCTTATTTCTGTAATGGTTAAGTCAATCAAACGTGTAAGTAACGTTAAGAGACTGAGATCTAACGCTCGTCAACCATTTGAGGGCCTCAGCTCCGTTGACGATTCTACACTTATGACACCATACACACCCAGAGTTATGGTATCTGATATCATGGGTGAACTGACAGAGAATTCGGCTTGTAGCAAAAATGATTTACTGATACTTCAGAAGCCAATGGCAGACCTACAGAGCAAGTTTGACAGCATTATGCCCCTCGCGCAATTGTGTGACCCATCACAAAACATCTGTCTTGAATCACTTATGAAATCCGAGCGCATAATTGACTATTTGGCTGAAGAAGCTGTTAAGAGGACTATGTCTTCACATAACGTCTTGGCCTATAACATTCCAGACAGAGAGCCTATTGCCAGATTTAAAGCTTCGTGTCTAAAGGCTTGTAATATGTCGTTGACAGAATGTCAGGTCTTGCGTCTTCGTAAGAAATCTGCAAACCACTCATGTCCGGTGCTTTTCAAGTTCAGGTCTGTCGAAGAATCCAGGAATTTTCTGAAAGCTGGTAAGATAATAGGCTCTTCAACAACCTACACTAACATTAAGGTTGCACCTGATTTAACACCGTGCCAAAGACGATGCCGCTCAGGAACGCTGAATACTGATAACTCTACTGTAGATGATGTTCCATGCGTTATTCCGTCTACTGAAAAACCTAATGACCGCATGCATCAGACATGAATTTACTCCTACTCAAGTTATACTCAATTTCACTAAGCGATGGGGCATACCCTACCTGCTGGAAGAAGTCTTATATTGTACCCATGCATAAATGCGGACCTATAGCTGATATCAACAACTACCGCCCCATCAACATCACGTCTGTAGTTTCACGTGTAATGGAAAAGATAGTAAAGACTCAAATCATTCAGTACTTGCTGTCAAATGACCTACTATCCACATCCCAATACGGTTTCTTAAGTAGAAGGTCATGCATTACTTGCCACTTAGATTATTTTGACTACATTACACAATGCATTGATTATTTATTTTTTTTATTTATTTATTTTTATTTACAGCTTGATTATGGGCATTCGGTAACAACATTATTTCTCGACGTTAGCAAGGCCTTTGATAAAGTCCCACATATCAGACTCATAACAAAACTCCAATCCTACAGAATAACCGAGAAACTTCTCAAATGGATAAATTCTTTTCTCACAGAAAGAGAGCAATTAGTCAAAATCAACCACCAGCTGTCTCCATCAAAGCCGATAACTAATGGTGTAATACAGGGTAGCGTTCTTGGCCCTATTCTATTCCTACTATTTATAAATGACATAGTCTCTGTGATCAAGTATGGCAAGCCATACCTCCTTGCAGATGATCTCAAGATAGTATATGATTAGGGGTACGACGATAAGAGCGTTGAAAGCAAAATCGAACATGACTTAAACAATTTAGGCGATTGGAGCGAAAAGTGGCAACTGACTTTCAACCCAGACAAGTGCAGTATAGCCCACCTTGGACGCTGGAAACCGAGAATGTGCCTATATATGTACGGTAAGCTCCTCTCGAAACTGAACACTGTCACAGATTTCGGGATAACATACTCAGATCTAACCTTCGATCATGCAAATAAGGTCGTATCCGACTGTAAACGACTTATTGGCTTTGTGCTGCGTAACTTCTACACCCAAGAAGCAAGATTAGCTATATATAGAACATGTATCCGCCCCAAACTTGAATATTGTCCTCTCCTGTATAGTAACCTAAGGTCTGCAGACCGAAAAAAATCGAAAGTGTTCAGAGATTCCTAACAAAATGCATAATAGGGTTTGACCAACCAGTGGAATATGTTGACAGGTGTATGCGTCTGAATTTAGAACCTCTGTGGTTAAGGAGAGTGAAATGCAACTTATTTCTACTATTCAAAGTCATAAGAAAACACTGTTATAGTAACTCATCCATAACGTGGGAAAATATTAAATCATATCAGCTGCGAAACCACAACTACCTTGTCAAGGTGGCTACCCACAGAAAATGCATTAGGGCAAACTTTTTCACCATTAAATATTGCACTCTATGGAACCAACTACCATCTGAAATTATATGTTGTGAAAACCCCAATGGGTTCAAACGGAGCCTAGAGAGACACATTAACATGTCCACCCTAGCTTGTCTAAAAGACCACAAATGTTGGTGAAATGGTAAGTAAAAGCCGGTCCAGTCTTCAGCCCAGTCAGTTACATATAACTCGATTCTACTACTTACGCAGCTAACGTTTAACTAATTTACTGATTTTCCTTCCTGTATAGACTTCAATAAGTTATGTTAATATAAGTACTTCTAGAAACAACTATATTAGCAACCACACCTTTTAATATTTTACGTATGTATATACAGTTAGTAATACAAGGCTACTTTTTGTGCCTGAATGACTTTGCTCAGCCAATAACCACCTTTTCTCATACACCTTCCTAAAACGTATAATCTTTATAATATTCCGCAGTATTTTTAACATTATAT